CCACTGAGCCACGCCCCCAGCCCCTCACTGGGGGATTCTAGGCAGGGACTCTACCCCTGAGCTACGCCCACAGCCCCTCACTGGGGGATTCTAGGCAGGGACTCTACCCCTGAGCCACGCCCCCAGCCCCTGCCACCTGGCTTGACGCCTTGCCTGGCCACTACTTTGCAGACCAAGGTGGGACACAGAAAGTTTTCCATGAGAGGCACCAGGCTGAAACTCAGACAGGCCACTCCATTCATGGAGCCAACTGTGTCTGTGACCTTGTGCAAACATCAGGGCCTGTCCAAGCCTCTCGACCCAGTCTGGGGTACTCCTTCTGTATGCCCAACGATCCTCACATAGAGAGCAGAGATATGTGAAGTCTCTTCCTCTCTTTCCTTTCCATCTTTTTTTTTGTCATCTCACCCCCCGACCCCCCATCTATGACCTCAGATAGTCCACGCTGGCTTCAAGTTTGACATACGGCTAGGGATGACCTTGAATTTCTGATTTCTCTGCCTTCACCTCCTGGGTGGTGAGACTCTGGACACACAACACCACGCCCAGTTTGTGCAGTGTTGCGGATCAAACCCAGTGCTTCACCGATGTTAGGGGAGCACCCGACAGTCTGAGCCACATCCTGAGCGTCCCCCACTCCTTCTCCGCAGACAGACAAGTCCCAGTCAGCAGAGCTGGTCCTCACTCTTCCTTCTTAACCCTGCTTGTCTGACCCTTGGCACTGGCATTTCTCACAGGAGACACACTTGCAGGCTTGGCCTGGCTTTCTGTGTCTTCTCAGTTGAAAGGATGCAGATGGTTGTGGCAGGTTCTGGGCTTAAGGCGGAGCTCTGCCACTTGTGCTATGAGTCTCTGGCCAGAAAGCCCCCTCTCCAAGCCCTGGGTCTCCTCTCTAGAAAGTTGGGTCATAAGTGAACATCTTTCTCACAGTGGTTGCTGACAAGAGGAAAGAACTTGAAGTAGGGAAATGGTAGATGTTAATTAACCCTGCTTCTGAGGACCTCTGGCTAATCCTGTCACCTAGGCCCAGTTATGTACAGCTAAGTAACCTGGGGCTGAGCAGCAAAAACCAGGCATGGTGGTCACACTCAGGAAGCTGAGTCACAATGATTGTCTCAAGTTTGAGGCCAGTCTGGACTATATAATGAGAGCCTGTCTCAACAACTACAACAGAATAATCTCCATAATTCTGGTGCACGCCTTTAATCCCAGCAGAGATAGGCAGAGCTCAGTGAGTTCAATGCCAGCCTGGTCTACAGAGAGAATTCCAGGTTAGCCCGGGCAATAGTGAGACATAAGGGTGCTCTGGATGTAGTTCATTCTGTAGAGTGCCTGTGAAATCCTGGGTTCAACCCCCAGCACCCCATAAACCTGGCATGAGGACACACCTGAAATCCCAGCATTGGGGAGGAGGAGCAGGAAGATCAGATCTTCAAGATTATCTTCAACTACAAAGTAAGTTTGAGGCCAACCTGGGCTATAGGAGACTTTACCTCAAAGATACCCACACCAAGCCACAAACAAGAGTCTGGAAGCTCTGACACTAGTCAGCTCTGTGGCTTGCTTTATTCTGGCTGCTCTAAAGCCTCCCTGCTGACATCTCTTGGTGGCACTCTCCAGACTGCCCTACAGGTCTCCTCTTAAAAACAAACTGTTCCAGAGGGAAGCAAAATTGCTCTCCTTATAGTGCATGCTTGCAGAAGGCTAACACCTTCCCTCTCCCTGCCAGGGCTTCCTCTCTCTGTCTTGAGGCTCTTGGAGGTACAGGGAGTGGGCTGATGAGGTGGGGGACCCCCTTCTCGCTCACCACTGAGGAGGAACCAGCTGCACCAGGTCAATGGCATTCTCATCCTAGGCTGATCTCCGAGATGGTTGGTGGCGATGGCGTCCTAGTCGGTCAGAGGCCCTTCCTGGTTGAGGCTTGGCTCAGTCTGCCACTGGACCTGGGATCGTTTGGCAATTTGGAACCGGGGCGGATCACCGGAATTTGGAGGGATCGAGTCACAGAAGATCTGGGGCCCTGTTTGGGCACTAGGGTGGGTGTGGCAGGCACCGGCCAAGGGCCATGACCTGGCCAGTCCTCCTGGGGCAGCTGCCTAATCCACTTTGTGCCAAAGGCCCAGATTTGGTACTGAGAGGAGAACCAGGTCGCCAGGGAGGAGGGAGGAGGGAGGAGGATGTAGAAAAACTCTGAGGGAGTTCTTGACGACCATGCCTGTGGTCTCCCTGCTGCGTAGTGGGGTCACTGAGGGGTAGATGTTGGAGACAGCTGCTTCTCTTGCCCTCAGTACTGCCAGGGAATGGCCAGTGTCACCACAGTGGATGGCAGAACTGTAGTGGTGGGCATCTTTAACACTTGTATTTGCTTGGGAGGTTGAGGCAGGAGAATCCTGACTTCAAAGTCATCCTCAGCTAAGTAATGATTAGGAGGCCAGCCTGGACTACATGGGAGCTTGTCTCAAAAAGTCAAGAGGAAATAAAAGACTCTTTTTTTTTTTTTTGAAACAGGGTTCCATGTAGCCCAGGCTAGACTTGAACTTATTGTGTAGCCAAGGATGACGTTGAACACCTGATTTTCCGACATCTACCTCCTGAGTGTTGAAATGATAGGTGTTCGCCACTGTGCCTGGCTTGTGTGGTGCTGGGGAAGGAACCCAGGGCCTCGTGGGTACACGGTGAGTGCTCTGAGCTAAGCTCTGCCCTCCCTCCCTTCTCTTTTCTCTTCTATTACTTTCCCTTCTTTGTTTTATCATTATACACGAGGTGGGTGGCATGTGCCATCACGTGCATGTAGAGAGCAGAGGACACCTTTGGGGACCAGAGGACACCTTTGGGGCCCAGAGGACACCTTTGGAGAGCAGAGGACACCTTTGGGAGACTCCTCCCCTTCTATCTGAGGTTCCAGGGGTCAAACGCAGGTCGTCAGGCTCAGCAGCAAGTGGCTTTACCCCCTGAGCCACCTCGCTGGTATTTCTTTCCTTTTTCAAAAAACACTTATTTTTATTTCTTAATTATGTATATTTATACGTCTCTGTGTGGCTCTCTACATGAGTGTGCAGGTGCCCATGAAGGCCAGAGGTGTCTGGTCCTCTGGAGGTACAGGAGGTTGTGAGCCTCCCAGTTAGGGTGCTGGGAACTGAACTCAAGACCCCCTGCAAGAGCAGCCCACCCACTAAGCAGTTTTTTTGACACGAGCTCTCACTACATAGCTCCAATGGCCCACAGCTCATTCAGGAGCCCAGAGAAGCCTTGAACTCACAAACCTCCCGCCTAAACTTCTGAGGGCTGGAATTACAGATGTGAACCACTGCATCTGTCTCAAAAAATTTTTTTTTCCCAGACAGGGTTTCTCTGTAGCTGTCCTAGAACTCACTATATAGACTAAACTGGCCTTGAACTCACAGAGTTCACCCTGCCTCTGCCTCCCTAGTGCTGAGATACCATAACCCCCCCCCCAACTCATAATGTTATTATTTATTGGCAAAGATGCTCCTGCCGCAGTGGGTTTGTGGAGGTCAGAGGATGACTTGCCGGAGCCAGGTCACTCTATCATCTGTCATACAGGCTCCAGGAACTGAACTCCCGACCATCATGCTAGTGACAGTATCTTGACTCACTGAGCCATCTCTTTAGTCTTTCTTTCCCCTTCTCTCTTTTTTTTAAATTAAAATTTTGCTGTATGTGCATAGCTGTATAGTTTGCCTATACATATGTACGGTGCCCACGGAAGCCAGAAGAGGACATCAGATCCCCTAGGACATGAGTTACAGGTGTCAGCTGCCATTGGGTGCTGGGAATCAAAACTGGGTCCTCTGGAAAAGCTCTACCCTTTGATCAATCTCTCCAGCCCCCTCTCTTCTCTTCAACAACAAATTGCATATCATTTGCATAACAACCATCTAGGTCACTAGCCGCACCAGGATGCTCAGAATTTTTGTTTGTTTGTTTGTTTGTTTGTTTGTTTTTCAAGACGGGTCTCTCTGTGTAGCCCTGGTTGTCCTGAAACTCACTCTGTAGACCAGGCTGGCCTCGAACTCAGAAATCCACCTGCCTCTGCCTCCCAAGTGCTGGGATTAAAGGCGTGCGACACCACTGTCCGGCAGAATTTTTTTTAAGTAAATAAATATATATTTGATTGGCATATGATACCATAAATGGAAAGACATAGGCAAAATTCTGGAAGGTAAGGCTGATTGATCCTTGTTAACAAACATTTCTGGATTACCTGAACTCTTCACACTCCTTTGGTAATTAAAAACAAAAATCTTTGGGGCTACAGAGATGACTCAGAGGTTAAGAGCACTGACTGTTCTTCCAGAGGTCCTGAGTTCAATTCCCAGCAACCACATGGTGGTTCACAACCATCTGTAATGGATCCGATGCCCTCTGTTGGTGTGTCTGAAGAGAGCTACAGTGTACTTATATACATAAAATAGGTAAATAATTCTTTAAAAATAAATAAATAAAAACTATGAAACCAGGGGCATGGCTCAGTGGTGGAGTTAAGAGTGTAGAATCTCCAGTGAGGGGCTGGGGCCGTGGCTCAGGGGTAGAAGCCTTGTGCTGAGGATGGTTAAACCCTCTGCCATTTATAGGAAGCAACTGTGAATGTTGGTGTTTTCGGGGACTCTTGGAGCCAGTATCTACCCCAAGTAACGAGGGGCAGCTGTCTTGCCCCCATGTGGGTCCTGTAACACAAGCGTGGTGCTTCCAGTTGTGCCTGACACACGCTAACTGCTCAGTAAAACACAAACTCATCCCTTCCACAAATACCGGGTGAGCACCTACTGTGTGCCAGCCTTGTTATAGATGTTGGGAGAGTTTAGTTACCAAAAATCAGTTAAGTCCCTGTGCTTTTCAAGGATCAATGAGAAATTCAGAACTATCTGGGGACTGGGGCCAATTGGTAGAGTGACTGCCTAGCGTGCATGAAGTCCCCCAGGCTCAATACCCAGCACTACATAAACCAGGTGTGGTGTCCATGCCCACCCCTCATCCTAGCACTCAGGAGATGGAGGTGGGAGGGTCAGAGGTCATCCTCAGCTACCTAGGAAGTTCCAGGTTAGCCTGAGCTATGTGAGACCCTGTCTCAAAACAACAAAAAAGCTTAAAGGATAGGTTCAATGGTATCCTGAGGCAGGAAGATCACTGTGAGTTCCAGGCTGGCCTAGGGCACACAGTGAGACCCTATCTAAAACCAAAAACAAAACCCTCATTTCAAGTGGAAAAGCAAATTCAGAAAGGGGGTCTGCCCCTTGCACTAGGGTGGAGGGAGGGTGTCCAGGCAGCGACCTCAGAGTCTTTGATCAGCATGTGACAAACGCTGTCATTGATGGCGTCATTGATGGCATAGTTTGTGGGTGCTGGCTCCTCTGCTGCCCTGCAGCCTAAATCTGGGCAGGGGGCCATACCTGCAGCTCTCCTGTCCCAGTTCCTCCTGAGTATCACTGTGTCCTGGGCTGCCCTCAAAAAGGCCAGGCTGTGTAGAGGGAGAGGAGGCTGGGGAGGGCTGGGGAAGGCTGGGGAGGGCTGGGGAGGGCTGGGAGGGTTGTGGAGGGTTGGGAAGGGCTGGGGAGGGCAGGGGAGGGTTGTGGAGGGTTGTGGAGGGTTGTGGAGGGTTGTGGAGGGCGGGGGTGACAGAGGCTGGGCTTGTATCCTCTTGCCCCCCTTCAACTCTGACCTTACCTCACCCGCTCTGCTCTCCCTGTCTGGCCCTGCACCCACACTGTCGCCTAAGTACTGGGACTGAGTCCCATTGTTGTTCAGAATGGCTCCCCAATGTCCCTGGACGCCTCTGACTCAGTCACCTTGTCCCAAATCGACCTTAGTATCTTCTCAGACCTACTCCATTTCCCTGCTCTCAGCCAGGAAGATGTCACTGCCCCCGAGACTGGTAGAAGGACCTGGGTCTCAGACCTCAGGCCTCCCCTACTCCATTACTCCATTAGCACGGCGGCTGCAGGGGCTGCCCAGTGCCCTCTGCAGAATACAGACTCCTCGGTGCCTGCATCCAAGCCTCCTGCCTCCTCCAGTGGGTCTACCCTGGATGACTCCAGCTTCCCCCCACCCCCATGTGAGCCCCGGACACCTTCAGTTCTCACTGTTGATGGCTATGTCTCTTCCCTCCCTGCACTGTGCCCCCACGGTGTCCCCAGCACTGTGTGGTGATTCAGAATGCTTGTGGAAGTTGACACCAAGTGTGGATGACACGGAACTGAGAGTCTCCAGGGAGGCCCAGGTTTCTGGGCAGAGCTACCTTTTGTCCCTAACCTGTGTCATGACTTCAAATCCCCAAAGCATCGCATGGCCCCTTCTCTGTCCTGTCCTTTCTGTCTCTGTCTCCTGCTCCCTCCTCCGTCTCCTCCCTGGTCTTCTGCTAATATGAACTTTTTTTTTTTTTTTTTTTTTTTTTTTTGTGAGACGCCCAGGCTAGCCTTGAATTCACTATGTAGCCGAGGATGACCTTGACCTCCTCTTTCTGTCTCCATCTCCTGGGTGCTGGGATTGCAGGGAGTTTTATACAGGGCTGGGAATCCACCCTCTGCTCTGGAACACTGGCCAAGCACCCTACCAACAAAGACCCATCCCTGGCCCCTGCGTGAACCCTTGGAGTCTAAGCAAAAGCTGCAGTTGCTCGTGTACTTAGTATGCACTTGGCCCAGGGTCGCACTGTCAGCCCTTCTATTGAAGGGAGCAGTGGGTAGCCACAACGTTGACTCCCAACTCTTTCTTCTGTGGGTAGAGCTTGTGTAACTGGGCTGCAGGCTGAGCAGGAAGGTGTAGGGGGTGGAGGGGCGCACTAGCCACTCTCTGATTAACACACTAGCTGAGCATTAACTGTGTGTAAGCTTTGTCTGTGTGTGAGCATCGTTCAGGACACTGGGGTCCCAGCCTGGAACAGAATAAACTCTCAGCTCAACTTCCAACTGAGAAGTCAACACAGGCAGATGGCCTACAATGTTACACTAGAAGGAGATGGTGGTTTTTAAAAATTTGTT